TGAGTAAAACCAGAATACCCACACCAGCAGTATTACAAAGAGATGTAGCTGTACTGAACAAAACAAGCGAACTAAACATAGACTAGTAATGGATGCAATACTAGACTAAAATATTAGGCTCACCAACGACCTCACCAGTATTAAATTCACCAACAAAATCACCAGTGCAAAGCAACACAAAAAAGAATAACCAATATTTTTGCAAATATAAAAGGGAACAAATGGATTTGTCAGTTACAAAAAGATTAGGAGAGTTAGCAGATGGGGAGCTGGAGGTACTGCACTGGGTAGATGGCAGAAATATTTTGAGGAACTTTTAAATGTCAATGAAGAAATGGAGGCAGTAATTTCATGCACTGGCCAGGGAGGTATAACATCTTATAGGAGTGAAGAAGAGCAGGATGTGAATGTGGATTAGGTGCATGAGGCATTACATAGAATGAAAGGGGGTAAAGCAGCTGGAACTGATGGGATCATGACAGATATGTTAGAAACCAGGGGGGGATATAGTGTTGGAGTGGTTGGTAGTTTTGTTTAATAATTATATGAAAGAGGGAAGGGTACTGAGGGACTGGCAGAGCGTGTATAGTTCCTTTATATACAGGGAAGGGGGACAAAAAAAATTGTAAAAATTATTGGGGAATAAGTTTGAGTATACCAGGTACAGTGTATTTTTTTTTTATTTTTTTTTTATTAACACATTGGCCACTTCCCACAAAGGCAGGGTGACAAAAAAAAAAAAAATCATCATTCAACACTTTCACCATCACTCGTATGTAATCACTGTCTTTGCAGAGGTGCTCAGATATGACAGTTTAGATGTCCTTCCAAACTGCCAATATCCTAAACCCCTCCTTTATAGTGCAGGCATTGTACTTCTCATTTCCAAGACTCAAGTCTGGCTAACCGGTTTCCCTGAATCCCTTCACAAAATATTACCCTGCTCGTCCAACAGCTCGTCAGGTCCCAAAAACCATTCATCTCCATTCACTCCTAAAACACATATGCACATTTGCTGGAAGCCCAAGCCCCTTGCCCACAAAACTTCCTTTACCCCCTCCCTCCAACCTTCACGGGGACAACCTTTACCCCTCCTTCCTTCCCCAACAGATTTATACACTTTTCAAGTCATTCTACTTTGTTCCATTCTCTCTAAATGACCAAGTCACATCAACAGTCCCTCTTCAGCCCTATGACTAATACTATTAGTAACTCCACACCTCCTCCTAATTTCCACACTTTGAATTCTCTGCATAATATTTGCACCACACATTGCCCTTACACAGGACATCTCCACTGCTTCCAGCCACCTCCTTGCTTCAGCAGTTACAATCCAAGCTTCACACTCATATAAGAGTGTTGGTACCACTATACTCTTGTACATTCCCTTCTTTGCCTCCATGGATAATGTTGTCTCCAAAGATACCTCAATGCACCACTCACCTTTTTCCTTCATCAATTCTATGGTTTACCTCATCCTTTATAAACCCATCCACTGACAAGTCAACTCCCAAATATCTGAAAACATTCACTTCTTCCATACTCCCTCCCTCCAATGTGATATCCAGTTTTTCTTTATCTAAATCATTTGATACCCTCATCACCTTACTCATCTATATTCACTTTCAACTTTCTACCTTTACACACCGTTCCTAATTTGTCCACTAACCCTTGAAATTTTTCTTCAGAATCCCCCAAAAGCACAGTATCACCAGCAAAAAGTAACTGTGTCATACTCCCATTTTGTATTTGATTCCTGTAATTTAATCCCACCCCTCTCCCCAGCACCGTAGCATTTACTTCTTTTACAACCCCATCTATAAATACGTTAAACAACCATGGTGACGTTACACATCCTTGTCAAAGACCTACTTTTACTGGGAAGTAGTCTCCCTCTCTCCTGCACACCCTAACCTGAGCCTCACTATCCTCACAAAACTCTTTACAGCATTTAGTAACTTACTACCTACTCCATACACTTGCAACATCTGCCACATTGCTCCCCTATCCACTATCATATGCCTTCTCTAAATTCATAAATGCAATGAACATTTCCTTAACTTTATCTAAATATTGTTCACATATATGCTTCAGTGTAAACACCTGATCTACACATTGTAAAGCCTCCTTGCTCATCTACAATCCTGCTCTACTCAGTAAACTTATTCCCCTATAATTTTTAGTCTCTTTAGTCCCCCTTCCCTTTATACAAAGGAATTACATACACTCTCTGCCAATCCCTAGGTACCTTCCCCTGTTTCACACATTTAACAAAAATACCAACCACTCCAACAATATATCTCCCCCTGCTTTTAACATTTGTCATGATCCCATCAGTTCCAGCTGCTTTACCCCATTTCATTCTACATAATGCCTCACACACCTACAGTATATGGTATACATTTAAAATCAATATGCCTTATTCAAGCTTACAAACCCATAGTAGCATTTTCAATCTTCTTTAACTTGTTTTACTTTTAACATTATCAGTTTGCAGCACATCATTATAACTTCCTCAGCTCTGCTCTGTGTATATAAACATCTAAGACAAGTGCAGTAAGACAGGGAAATACCACATTAATGTCAGTAGGCTTTAGTTTTATTCAGCTTACACTGAAACTTACCTTCAGAAATAAATATATCCACTGAAAATTGAATAAAATGATAAATTTTATTATTCCTTTAATAGCACTTTATTAAATGATACAAGTCAGCTATAATATATTTGGAAACATTTACATAATTGGCATTCTATATATTTCTAATCTACTTGTTTCTTCATATCAGAAGATAAATTTCTTCCATATTTTATAGTTTTTATATACTATACTGAGCTAAATATAAAACTGTATATATCAATAAGAAATATAGTATAGTGGCTTAATGCCCTTGAGAGACTTGTGTGATGGAGTGGAGCTGCATAATCAGAGAGAAGATACTGTCAGCTTTGACACCTCATGTCACTAAATATATATATGTATGCATACTACCCTCAACATAACACAGTGCTACCCAGATTTATATGCAGAGTTAGCCTAACCTTAATACCTTTTTCAAATGTATTATACTATACTGTACTGTATGTAATTTCTAAAAAGTATCAAACTGCTATAGAAAGTTTTAATACACCTACATAATTAGCCTCATTGTATCTGATTTTTTTTTTAATAACTAATCTGCCATATAGCTTGAGCTTAGCTTACATTATTGTCTTAGAAAAAAACTTCACACAGTACGTGAGAACCAGAGAAGTGGTGGTAACCTCATCTAATTACACGAGCTCATAATACTCCTAAAGTACCTTATTTACTATATGACTATTATTATTATACTCATGGGAGGAGCATTCAACCCATAGGGTCACAGAGCATATGGGAATGAGAGAAAATCAGATTTGATCCAAGGAAAAGGATGACAGGTTCAATTCCCTGAATCAAAAGCCTCTCATCTTCATCAAGGCACCTCCCTCGAGGAAATAAATGACTAATGATTTTTAAATAATAAAGAAATGTAATTTTAATGCATCTCTTCTCAAGGATCAATTTTAGTATATTATTTTCCAGTGTCATGATCAGAATTAATATGACACTGCCATATATGATACTGGCAGCAAAGGACAGATGAACAACAAATACAAACTGAATGTAGAGTGAAATACCAACAGGTATGAGAACGAAGACACAGTATGCAGAACAAATTTTTATAGGGACTATATTATGTCCAAGACTGAGCTTGATCAAGCCATACATACATCTAAACATGCATTCAAACAGAGACAGACAAACACAGAAAACCACACACACACACACACACACAAAAAAAAAAAAAAAAAAAAAAGAAGAGTGAGGCAAGAACAGCACAAAATAATATATCAAGTGCTGATGATGTGGGTAGTGCAGGACTATAGTCAGCCACCTGGTCCACTATCAAGGTTTAAACTACTGCTGCATTATGGGCTGGGTATTTACCTTACAAGATAATGTGTGCCAAGGTTTTGCTAGGCTGAAGGCAGCCTGGTTCTATTCAATAGTAACTGCTGTACTGATGATCTAGTAACAATTATCACAAGCTGTCCCCCTTTTTAATAATGAAGTTTGGTGTTTTTCCATACAATAAGGTGTGCATGTTTGTCCCAGTGAATGACGCATGCACTGTTTGTGTTCTTTCAACAAACCGGCTGTATCCTACCAAAGCAGGATAGCCCAAAAAGAAAAACAAAAGTTTCTCTTTTTAAATTTAGCAATATATACAGGAGAAGGGGTTATTAGCCCCTAACTCTTGGCATTTTAGTCGCCTCTTATGACACGACTGGCTTATGGAGGAAGAATTCTGTTCCACTTCCCCATGGAGACTGTTTGTGTTATGGATTCTAAAAGCATACTGATGTTTCCAAGCACCAGTGTTTCAGTTCTGTGGCATTTCTCTTATGTACAGTATTATTTACCACAGCCTGCATGTGGAATGGTGTACTGTATACACCAACACTGCTGCTAATTGATTTGTATCCAGGTCTGGTGTCAAAAGTGGTTTCTGATGTGACAACTGTTACATTAGTATCCCTTCTCTTCAGTGCCTTGGTGAGTAGATCTACACTATCTGAGTCATCTTTTTTGGGGAGCGGATAGGATTTTTTGGGCTTTCTGTCTGCAGTCTTGGACGAGTTGTGACTGAAACTGTAGAGTAGACAAGATGTTATTAATGATGTGGCTCTCCACTCAATGCATAGTCCCAAGGTTTCGATGGGAAAAAACCCACTGCGTGAACTGTCACAAATATGTGTGTAGATTGATCCTTCCACATTTTAAAGAGTGTAACAGCAATTGTTTCTGTGCTATGACTGGTTATGCTTTCTATAGCTGTCAGAGAAAAACTAGTAGTATGATCTCTGGTTAATCAATGGTTTACTGTAGTTTAAATTTATACATTTTGATGAGGTCTGTAAAGTCAGCCATGGAAAAGGAAGAGCCATACTGGCCTTAATTTTCCTCTGTATGACTTGATATAGCTCAACCCTGAGAAAAACAGTCCCCAAAAAAGCTTGTTCTACATAGTTTTTTTTTTTACACCCATACAACAAACTCAATAGGTTGGAGGTTGGAGGGAGGGGGTAAAGGAGGTTTTGTGTGCGAGGGGCTTGGACTTCCAGCAGGCATGCGTGAGCGTGTTTGATAGGAGTGAATGGAGACAAATGGTTTTTAATACTTGACGTGCTGTTGGAGTGTGAGCAAAGTAACATTTATGAAGGGGTTCAGGGAAACCGGCAGGCCGGACTTGAGTCCTAGAGATGGGAAGTACAGTGCCTGCACTCTGAAGGAGGGGTGTTAATGTTGCAGTTTAAAAACTGTAGTGTAAAGCACCCTTCTGGCAAGACAGTGATGGAGTGAATGATGGTGAAAGTTTTTCTTTTTCGGGCCACCCTGCCTTGGTGGGAATCGGCCAGTGTGATAAAAAAAAAAAAAAAAAAAAAAAAAAAAAAAACTAAAATTTGAAGATTTTGCATGAACATATATACAGTACCATAATTCTGGGAAAAATAGGTCTGTCACTGTATAAAAGGTTAAGGGTCTTCACACTGAACTCTGAGATTCACTCCCAGCTAAACCAATGAGTGCTCTGCGAATTTCTTCAGTCACCTCATCATTATCAGGAACTTCTGAGAGCACCCAGGTGTCATCTGTGTTCTTCAGAGATTCTCTGCAGACAGGGCAGGTTCTATCTACCACAGTCCTGGAAAGAAACCCAAAGACACAGGTAAACCAGTTGAATGGCCTATTTTTTTGAACTGTATATGAAAGCATTACCAGAGATGAGTCTCTTCCCACCTTCACATATCCCTACTTAATGCAACACAGTAATATCTCTTATTCATATTACTGTGTCTGTTAGTGTACTATATACGAATTACATAAAATTCCAAATAAGGGAAATTTATTATTTTTCTTATTAAAAATAAAAAAATACTGTATCTGAATTAGAAATATTATCCAAATTGAGATTTGAAATTGTAGCTCTTACTTTGAAAATTCAAAATTTCATATATTATTTTCTAATTCCAATACAGCCTATCCTCACTTAACGACGGAGTTCCGTTCCTAAGATCGCATCAGTAAATGAATTCATGGCTAAGCAAGGAGCACAGTATAATGGTAGTGGGTTTGTGTCAACCATCTTTTATATAGTTTTAATGTCACCTTTGCACCATTTATAACATTTTTAGTATATTTTCAAATGTTTGTACAGTAGTGTACTGTATATTGTAATAAAAAGAATAAAGGAAATCAGCTCCAATATACAATATTTAGGTATGCATACTAGTCAAAGAGCCCGTCATAAGTACGAGTTGTTGGTAAACGAGTACACTACTTAGTGAGGAGAGGCTGTATAAATATTTGTTTTCAACGAACTGGCCACATCCCACTGAGGCAGGGTGACCTAAAAAGGAAAATTTAACTTTTTCTTTTTAAATTCAGTAATTCATACAGAAGAAGGGGTTGCTAGCCCTTTGCTCCTGGGATTTTATTTGCCTCCTACAACATGCATGGCTTACAAAAGAATTCTTTTCCCATGAAACAATATATTTTAGATCATTCTAAATAGAATAAAAGGGTATCAAGTAAAACAATTATACTGTACATTACAATGCATTATTTTAAGCCAAATTCTTCAGTGGCTGTCAACTGTCTTAATTTTTCTTTAGTTGTATGTTACAGTACTGTACATGTACTATTAGTACAGTATTTAATCTTTTCTCTATCCTTCCCTGCTTCTTGACCTCTACTTTGATACCATTTATGCTTACTAAGGCTAACTTGTAGCCATATACTGTATTCCACAATGAATACAGTATCTAGTAGTACAGTGGAACCTCTACTTATGAGTTTAATCTGTTCCATGACCTTGCTCGCAACTGGATTTGCTCGTTTGCAGGCAATTTTCTTCATATAAATTAACTGAAATGGAATTAATTCGTTCTAGTGGAATTCCAGGCATGAGAAAATACTTTAATAATTTCCCTAATATCATCTCTACAGTTTATTTATCTATCACAGTTCATGTAATATGACATAATAAACAATACTAATAACATAGAAACATGATATATACACTAGAATGAATAAAATACATGTCATTAGTTATGTGGCTAGTGGTGGTGACAGCAGCCATTGTTGTTGGGGTTTATAGGCCCACCACAGTGGCTATTCCTGCTCCTGACTACATGTGTAGAGAACCTAGGATAACCCAAAAAAGTTAGACAGAGTGACTACACTCTTAATGCTTCACTTAATGCTATACTCTTAATGCTACATTTAAATGCTACACTCTTAATGCAACACTTTGCAACTGCTGCTTCATGTTGTCTGCCACTGCTGCTTCATGTTGTCTGCCACTGCTGCTTCATGGTGTCTGCCACTGCTGCTTCATGGTGTCTGCCACTACTGCTTCATGGTGTCTGTCATTGCTGCTTCATGTTGTCTGTCACTGCTGCTTCATGTTGCCTGCCACTGCTACCTCATGATGTCTGCCACTGTTGCTTCATGCTGTCTGCCACTGCTGCTTCATGCTGTCTGTCACTGCTGCTTCATGCTGTCTGCCACTGCTACCTCATGATGTCTACCACTGAAGTCGCCAAAGAATCGAACATTTCTGCTATTTTGAGCTCAATTTCAAGGTACTTTTCATCGTGAAACCAATTAAAATCATAGTTATTTTTGTAGTATATCTTCCATTCTATCGCAAGAGAACGAATAAAACAAGAATACTGTACAACCATAAAAACCATACGAAAATATACCGCTAAGGGGAGGCTAATGGCTGAGAAATGAATTCCGTTATTTATGGTCCAATTTCTTTCATTTTTGGTGTACGTAAAGAAGCATCTTTTCATCATACATTGCCTAAGTTTCAATAAGATAGTCCAACAAACTGAGATCCAATTCCCTAGATCAAGAGCAAGAGCCCCCTCACCAGTGTCAATTAACCTCCCTTGAGGCCCACTCGCATCTGGAAATTTTGCTCGCGTCTGGAAGCAAAACTCGACCGAGCAGCTGCTCGTATCTGGAAAAACCCGCATGTGGATGCACTCGTAAGTAGAGGTTCCACTGTACTGTTTTATTTATAACAAACAGTTGGTGACTAATTCCTGTTCTCATTACACAGGTACAAACATTATACAGTAAAGGTCCAACAAAAATTGACTAAAAATGGGGATGGGGTGTCTAATTTATCAAAAATTCCATTATACTGAATGTTTCAATTAGGTAGATGTAGTTTGCTTAATCAATCAACTACCAGACATGGACAAACCCCCAATAAAACACACTTTCTGCAGTAGTGTTGAACTACTGGACACAGAATAAACTAGATTACAATACAGTAGTACCTGTAAATGAAGCTGAAAAGAAAATGGGTTAAAAGAAGAGCGCTGTATAATACAGTGGAACCTCGGTACACGACCAGCTCCCTACTTAAACAAGGTTTGGCACTCTATCAAACAAATATGACCTGCCAGAACTTCGTTGTAAACTATTTTGTGTCTCTTTGTATTTTTTTTTTTTTTTGTATTTGTATAAATAAGTCACCATGGGGCCTACGAAGATCAGTGATAACAGCCAACCAAACAGAAAATTCGTTGGGAAGAACTTATTTGATACTCAAATGGACTGGCACTCGAACAGCCTTCTGGAATGAATTAAGGTCGCATACCGAGGTTACACTGTACAATAGAGTACACAGTATAATACTTTTTCTTACCTTTTCTGGTGGATAGATGAGCTTAGATATACAATATAGTACAGTATTCCCATGTGGTCTAATGGTGACCCAGAATAACTTATTCTACGTCAGTGGAACTGTAAAGCTCCAGCAGTATCACTGCAGATGGTGTGGGAGACAGACAGGTAGATTGTGAGGGAGATACAGATGGTACATAGGTTTTTCTTATAATAAAGCCATAGCGTTGACAAAAACTCCAAAACCAATCATCAGTTGTCTCAAATTCTATAACCTTAAAGTTTGCTAGCCCAGAATGGCAGCTCATTTCCATGAAGCTGACAGATGAAATAATGGACCGGATGATCAAGCAACACTTCAAGAAGAATGGCTCCACTGTCACCTCCGACATTTATGTTGGTTCCGTCACTACCAACACATACAACAGGCTGCCGAGTTAGTTTCTGTTCCACCAGAAGTGCATAGTCAGTCTTGGCAATCTCCTTTCCATGGCTTGACTTAGGAGTCACATGAGTGAGATATTCAGTGCCGGGCTCCACCATGATGATGTAATGATCTTTCGCCACTATCTTTGGACTCCATTTCTTGGTCTTCTCATTCTTTGCTATTACACGAGTAGAGGTCGTCTTACCATCAAAACACAGTGATGTGATATTTTCCAAGTTTGCTACCTCATTTTCTTGCCTCTCCATATGGTATTTGTGTCTGGCATCTCGTAACTTCTGTAGTCCAATAACTTGACTTTTACACAAATAATCCGCACATAAAAGAGAGAAGCTTACGACGACGTTTCGGTCCGACTTGGACCATTTACAAAGTCACACTAACCAGAAGTGGAGCAGGGCGGCTATATATAGGCAGGAAGAGGTGGTGGTGGTAGTAGTAGTAGTAGTAGTACAAGAATGGTATATAATACCGACAAGATGAAATTAAGACATATGCGCAACACCCGGGCATCCCTATCGTAGACGTTTCGCCATCCAGCCAGCCACTGGATGGCGAAACGTCCACAACAAAGACACCCAGACGCCGCACATGTGTCTTAATTTCATCAGTGGTAGTAGTAGTAGTAGTAGTAGTAGAAGAGGTAGTAGTAGTGGTAGAAGTGGGGAATAAGGAGGACGAGCCAGTCAAATACAAAGGAAGGGGAGCACTGCAAGAGAGGTAGATGCCCACAGAGGGAGAGCAAGCGCACAGAGGTGCGTGAAAGGGGAAGTGGTGAAATAAATGAAGAAGGAACAGAAACATGAGACAGAAGAGAGAAAGACAACCCAGAGGAGAAAAAGGAAAGAGGAGAGGGGAAGAGGGAGAAGAAGAAAAAGAAAAAGAAAAAATGAGAAGTCAGGTTAAGTCACGGGTGTTCTGAAGTTTGGAGCATTTTACAATGTAGTGGGAGAGGAAGGCATCTACAGAGATGAAGCCAGGGCTTAGATTCATACAAGGAAAGTTGTGTATTAGAGAGGATTCAACTAGACAGCGACTGTTCGAGTTGGAAGTAGGGAAGACAGTTTTAGCAGAAGACCAGTCAATAGGATGGCTATGATTTCTGACGTGACAGAAAAGAGCATTGTTAGTGTCAGCAAGCCTAACACTATTTTTGTGCTCCCTAAGTCTGTCAGAGGGAGATCGACCAGTTTCTCCGAAGTATTGAAGAGGACAGGAGGAGCAAGAAATAAAGTAGACACTAGGAACATCTGTAGAGGGAGGAGAGGTATGAACGAGATTAGTGCGAAGAGCGTTAGTCTGGCGGAAGGCAAGCTTGATGTCTAAGGGACGAAGAGAATTGTCAAGAAAAGTGTTCTTATCTCCCTCTTTCTCCGTGCCCTCCGCATCTGTGATCCTCAGTTCCTTCCAGCAGAAATTTCCACTCTTCATAATTAGTTTTCCCGTCTTGGCTACCCTTCCCATTTCATAGACTCTGCCCTCTCACGTGCTAAACGTAATTTCTTCTCTCCCAAACTCTCTACTCCTGGGAATCCTTCTATCCTCTGCCTTCC